TGAGTCTTTGGGGAGGGGTGGGGGTGGTATGTTATAGCTTGTATCTAGATGTCCCCGCCAAAGCCTCATATGAATGAGGTGGGGCTATTTTGTAGGTGGCTGAATCTAGAATGTGTGATTCATGGTGCAATGCTAGGCCCAAGAGCACTAGGATTAAGAATGTGGGGCCAGGGATTTAGCTCAGTGGTTCCGCCACCTGCCTTGCAAGCACAAGGACCCGAGTTTGATCCCTGGTACAAAAAAAAAAACAAAAAAAAACAAAGTGACTGCTACCTGCCCTATGTAGTCTGAATAACATAAAGGGGGCAGAGACATTGTTAAAGTTCCTTGTTGCTTCTGCTGTCTTCTTCCACCCTGAACTGCTTTGCCACCCTGACTTGGAGCCAGCCAATTAAGGACTGAAATCTCTATTAAATGTAAGCCAAATAACCCTTTCCCTCTTTAACTTTAGGTGTTGGGTACTTTGTCTCAGCAATGAGAGAAAAGTAACACAACTTGTTATTGTCTCTTTTCTTTAAAATTTTAGCCATCCTACAGGGTTTTATATGGTATCTCAATGAAGTTTTGATTAATGAATAATCAAATAGTATTTTTTAATGAATAATGATGTTGAGCAACTTTTTATACCCTAATTGGCTATTTGCACATCTTTGGAGAACTCTCCAGATCCTCTATTCTTTCTTAAATGAATCGTTTCTTTACTGTTAAATTTTAAATTAATTATATATTCAAAACAGAATATCAAAGCCAGGCGTGATGGTGCAAGCCTGTAATCCTAGCCCTCGGGAGGCTGAGGCAGGAGGATCGCTGTGAGTTTGAGACCAGCCTGGGCTACATAGTGAGTTCCAGGTCAGCCTCAACTACACAGTGAGACCCTGTCTCAAAAATCCAACAAACAAACAAACAAACAACGCCCCCCAAAAAACCAGAATATCAGATACGTTTTCAATTTTTCCCCATTCTTTTTACTTTGTTTTTGCATTGAACCTGGGACCTTGAACAAACTAGACAAGTGCTTTATCACTGAGCTACATACCCAGCTTGTTATTTATCTTATCTTGAGACAATGTCTTGCTAAGTTGTCCAGGCAGGCCTCAAATTTGCAATCTTCCTGCCTCAGCTTCTCAATTAGCTGAGATTATAAGTGGGTACCACCATAGCCAGTTGTCTTTTCATTTTCTCAACAGTGTATACATTAGTCTCTTAGGGCCGTGAATGCCAAAATGCCACAGACTGGGTATGACCTCACTGGCATTAAATTTCAATATGATTTTCAAAGGAACCCAATTCACTCCATAACACTCTGGCCTCTGGACCCCCTGAGTTCAAGTCCTTCTCACATGAAAAATACATGCACTTCATCCCAACAGCCCCTATAGTCTCAATCCATTTCATCAACTCTTAGTATAAAGTCCTATCTAAATACAGGTTAAGCAGGACATGAAAGAACACACCTATTGTCTCTATTCTTGGGAGGCCAAATGTTATGACTTGTATCTAGATGTACCCCACAAAGCTTCATGTGCTCCTAGGTGGGATTTTTCAGAGCTGGGTGCATCTAGGGCATAATACTGGGATTAAGGATGTATAGTACTAGATTGGTCCAATGACTGGAATTACCGTAGTTCTGGTGTGCGTAGTACCAATCAATAAGCTTATAGCCTGGATGGAATACAAAAGACAAGAAAGATAGACTTGCTGCTGCTGCTTGAAGCTTCACTGTCTCCTGCCTGCTTGCTATGGTTTATTTCTCCTCTGAGGCCCCTCTGTCACGCTACACTGCCTTGGAGCCAGCAAACTATGGACTGAAACCTCTACAGACCATGAGCTGAAATAAATGTGAGTGTTGGGTATTTTGTCCCAGCAATGAGAAAAGTAACTAAGACACTGAGGAAGGAGCATCCCTTGAATGCCAAATAAGAGACTAGCCTGGGGAATACAGTAAGACTTCACTTCAGAAACAAAATAAAATGAAAACAAAGAGAAAAAACAGTTAAGCATGTCTAGTCTGAAAATCTGAAATGCTCCAAAATCAGCTTTTTGAATGCTGACATAGCACCATGAATGAAAAATTCTCCACCATTAAATTTATGCACAAATTAAAAATATTGTATATAATGACTTCAAGGATATGTGTAAGGTATATATGAAACAAACTTTGATCCCATAACCAAGAAATCTTAATACATATATTCAAGTATTCAAAAATCCAAAAATACTCAAAATCTGAAAGACTTCTGATGAGGCAGTTTAGGTAAGAGATACTTCACCCGTATTATCTATGTCAGTTTGGTTGAGACTTGAGATGGATCATTTTCAGGCAAAATTCCTCTTCCTTTCTGCTTCCAGAATATAACATACTTGAGGAATACAATGGTGGGACCATCATTGGACGTATTTCCATTCCAAAAGAGAGAAACCGGAAAGGAGCCAAGAAAGTCTAAAACCTAGCAAGGCAAATTCAATTTTATTTTAAGGATTGGATGAGAAAGTCTTGAAAATAGTCAAGAAAGGCTTTTCCTGGGAAGACACATAGATATCCAAGAGCTATTTTATTTTAGAATGCTTGATTGGCAACTATATGGTTAGCTTGTCTGGAGCAAGCATATCCTTTAATAATTACTAGCCTTATGTTGGAAGTGTGTGTGAGTTGTGTGTGTGAGTAGAGTCTGAATAGCAGGCTCAAGAGCTGCAACTACCTAAGAGAAAAAAATTGGAGAACCTGGGCAGCAGAAACAGAATTTTGTGACTATTGTAGATAGATGGGCAAATGTAAATTGAATTAGGAGACAGTAAACATTGATGACTTAACTCCTCTCATCTCAAAGGCATTTTGAATTATCTTAATAAACACTGGTAGGCTGGGAATAAATATAATTCATATCACTCTTACTTTCTCCGTTTAGAAATAGCTTATCCATATCCTTAAAACGTCATCCTCTTTGCATGGCTCTGACAAAAGAACACTGAGTGATTCAGTACAAGAAAATTGGGTTGCTTGAAATAAGGCACCAGCTGACGGGTAGATTCACCTTGGTGTTGTGAAGGCTAAATAAAACAGGTAACATTTGGCAAGGAACAGGGACTGCATGTGGACTTTCATTTCCGCCCACGCTGTCCAGTCCTGGCACAATCATTACAGAAAAGCGATCTGCGGTGGTGTCTTCTGCAACGTCCGCCAGTACAGACCCAGGGTCTCAGAGTACTACCTTCTGCGGCCACATTTGTAAATGCTGTGGAAGTGAGAGCGGAAAAATCCAACTTCCTTCAGAAAACCGCGGCCCACTGCAGCTGAGACTCCAGCGTCAATTTCAGCACAACTCCCTGGGGTGGCTGCGGTTCCGGGCCGCGAGGGAGGAGCGCCTTAGAGGTTTGGGAAATAGGCGAGTCAGGTTCTTGGCTGCTAGCAATCCACTTCCTACGGCAAGCAGCAGGAACCAAAAGCCGCCGCTCCTCGCTCCCACCTATGGCCCCTAGCCAGGGACTGTCGAGTGCTTCCCTCAGGGACCGCAGGGGTCGTGTGGGTGCGTGTGAAGGGCGCTGTGTACGTGTCTACGCAATGGGCCCGCGACTTGTTTGGGTGCTCAGTTACCACCTGTCGCCCCAGTCGCCCCCCCGGCCTCCCTTCCCCTCCCTACTGAAAGGGCCAGGCCTGCAAGTCCCCGCGCCACCCTCTGGGAGTGAGAGAAGGCGAGGCGGTCAGCGCAAACTGGAGGCGGAGCCCGGCGTCGCACGCCTGGCAGGGGCGGG